AATTTTCATATATTCAAATTTCAGTTTAACAGAATATTTATAAAAAGTTCCTTTTCAAAAATTAACAAATTTTTTTTTGACTAGAAACCAAAATTTAAAATTGATTGAATTGGAGAATATTGAAAGTTTGCCAAATAAAAAATTGAATTCAAAATTATATTCTTCGTTAGAGAAATTATTTTCAATATATAGGTATATAATTTATAAAAGAATAATAAAATTAATTAATTATATTTCTAATTTTTTCATGACATTGGGAAGAAGTTTATTATCTCTTAGAATTTTGTTTTAAAATCCACCAAGATTTTCTTAAAAGTAAAAAAAAAAATTCTAAAAAGTCTTTAGAGTGATATTTATTTTGGATTTTTGATATACAATAAAAATCCATAATTTTAATGTCACAATGAAAATTATATAATAATTATCATATATTGGTTGTTTAAAACTGTCAAATTAAATAAACCATACCGCGACCTTTATTTTATTTTAATATTCCTCAATCACGATAAAAATTCAAGTCTCTTTTTGACGAAAGCTTATTTTTTTTGGCCGGATGCTGTGGAAATTTTTCCTGAATATAAAATCGACTACCTTCAGAAAAACATTTATGCAGTATTTTAAACGTCAAAATATTTTAATGTTTATCATGCTTTAAAAGCACGAGAGTTAATACTCACTGGATAACATTGCGCGGAGAGAAATTTACCCGGCATGAGAAAATAACTTCATATTGACAATATTTTCTTTAAAAATACATTGTCATTTTTTTTATTAGAACACACATATATATATATCTTTTGTTCCCGCGCAAAATTTTTGATTGCAAACATTTGCAAAAAAGCGCTTAAAAAGTGATTTTAGGATCAACATTTTTGTTTCAATTTATTTCATTTCAACAAAATATTTTTCGTTTAAAAGAAATTTTCATGTTTCAAAGAAATTTTTATTAAAAAAAAAAAAAAATTTTGCTTAAAAATTAGTTTTAAAAAGAATTTATTTATTGAAAAAAATGCTTTTTTATTTAAAAGAAAATTTCATTTAACAAATGTTTAATACAAATTTAATCAAAATTGCAACTACCTAATAGAATTTTTTCCTACTTTTCACTTGGTCGAATTTTTATTAACGAATTTATATTTTAATTATTATATCATTCAACTAAATTTTTGTTTAATTAAAATTTTAATTAGCAAAAAATTCTAGCTCAATAATTTTTTTAATACAAATTTTATTTAACCCCTTGACAGTCCAGGGCCCATATGTGGCCAGAAAAAATCGTGCCACCTTTGTGCAAGTGGCCATATATGGCCATCGCAAAAAAATAATACTAAATTTAATTTGATTCGCCTGAAATTTGTTACTCGGGGGTTTTTGGGGTCGCTGAATTCGAATTTGAGGTCGGTTTTTTGAAATTCAAAATAGCGGATCCAATATGGCGGACAAATTTAAAAAAAATTTTTTTTAAAAATTTGTCCGCCATATTGGATCCGCCATTTTGAATTTTGAAAAACTGACCTCAAATTCGAATTCAGCAACCACAAAAACCCCTGAGTAACAAATTTCAGGCAAATTGGTTTGATTTTTTTAAAATTTGTCCGCCATATTGGATCCGCCATTTTGAATTTTGAAAAACTGACCTCAAATTTGAATTTAGCGACCCCAAAAACCCCCGAGTAACAAATTTCAGGCAAATTGGATTGATTTTTTAAAAATTTGTCCGCCATATTGGATCCGCCATTTTGAATTTTGAAAAACTGACCTCAAATTCGAATTCAGCGACCACAAAAACCTTAAATATGATGAAGTCATATTTTTTTGGAAACTTTTTTTTCGGACCGTTTTAGGCCCACCAGCGATTTTTAACTGGACTGCGAAGGGGTTAATAATTTTCTAAAAGGTAAAATTAAATCGAAATTATTTTTCAAAAACATTTTAATCATCATCAACATAAAACATCTTAATCAAATAAATATTGAGTTAGATAAAAATTATATATTGATTAAAAAATTTACTACAATGAATATTTCTATTAAATAGATATTAAATTCGAAATTATTTGACCAAATGTAATTTCTGTTAAATGAAAATTTTTCTTAAATAATATAGTTAAATAGATAGTTTTAAAAATTTGGTTAAAATAAAATTTCTAAAAATCCAAAAAAAAATTTGGTTAAATAAAAATTTTATCTTAAAAAATTCGATTAAATGAAAAATCCATTAAATTTCAAAATTTCGACATAAAGAGATTTGCAAAAATTTCGTGTATTAAGATCAAAATAATATTGAATAATTGAATTTCAAAATTCTGTCACATTTTCACTTTAACTACACTGTGCAATTTTTTTTTCTTTTGTTACATATATACGTTAACTCTACTAACTGGCTAGATTAAACTAGACTATGTCTAGAGCATTTCTTAAATTTTCCCGCAATTCTATATTATATACTTTAAACGCTGGTACTGTGTACTTCACGTATATTCGGTGATTTTGTTTATATACGGGGAATGAAATTTGTGTATATGAATATGAAATGTGTATGAGTGTGTGTGTATTACAATTTCTCTTGTGGTGTGCGTACAATGTCTGACGATAATTGGCTCTTACCACTGTAGGCTTATTTCTCAACAGGGTTTGTATATATATATATATATATATACCTAATATATATTAATTTTGTTTTCTTCATCGTGTGTTTTCTTAAATTCCCCTGTTTTTCCCGCACGCCCCCACCCTTAATTTTTGTTATATGTTTTCTACATACTACGTCAATTATTTATCTACTTTTTTTTATCACCTTACAATCTATATTCCATTCTTATTCTTTATTTATCATCCTCGAAAAAATTTCGATGCTGTCTTTTTTTTTTCTTATTTAAATATTATTCCCTTAAAATTACGAATCTAACTACATATTTTTCTCACGCTTCTCTCTCTCTCTCTGTAAGTGCATTACATACCTATGACTTATATAATAATGCCTTAATTCCTAAGGCGTCTGTCCCAAACTTTTTACATGGTGATTAAGGCCCATATATATCTGGACCATTATCACTTGTTCAAGTACATATCCAAGATTCGAGAGTATTGATTGAGAAAATTTTTTTTTTATATTTTCTTTTTTTTTTGTAGTTTTTGGATATTATTTTTTAAAGCGATTTTGTTGTATTTGAATATAAGTATTAGGAACGAGATGCTGAGCGTTTTTTTAATTTGTTAAATGTAAAACTGTATCGTACGCATAGCAAAATCAGTAATGAAATTTAAATGTATTGACTAATTATATATATATATATATATATATATATTATATATATATAAATTTTTCTCTTCTACTCTCGATTCCCGTGACTTGTTTTCTGTTTTTTTTCGCAAAATTACCTAATATTTTATTATATCTTGTTTTTTCCTAGCTAATAATGTACATGTTTCTTTTTTTTTGTATCTCTCTCGCACTTGCTTTTTTGTACGCAATTGCACCATCTGCTTTTTTTTCTTTTTTTTTTGAAGCTACAACACGATCAGCACTCTTTTTTTTTGTTTTATATATGTATAATATGTATATACGTCGTTCTCGTACTAACAGTTCCCATTTCGACTATGTATACATTTTTTTTTGTATATGTATAGTTGTATTTATATATCTATTTATTTATATATTTATAACACTCTTCTCTTGCATTGTCCCTATATATCGCTCGTGTCGTGTCCTTTTTTTTCATGTAAGGCTATTCAAAATCGTAACGACGAAAAACGTGGATCGGATTATCGAGAATTTATATATTGGCCACGATTCGACGCTTTGCGGATTTTTTTTTCAATTATGAACTATTTTTTTTTTAGAACACTAGCGGCATTGAGCCGAGCTCTACTTATGAACTAACGTTGTACCTCTCGTTTGAATATGCGTCTCGGAAAAATATCAAAAAATTACTGCCGGCGCATCTAGGAGTCATGTTTTATAGATAAAAAATATTTAGCTCTCTTTTTTTTCCGCCCCAATGACGATTCGCAAGGACTTTTTTTTTGTTTTAGATAAATTGTATTTTAATTGGCAATATAGAATTACTTTTTATAGATTACTGCGCGCGCTAAACAATTAAACATGAGGTACTTATTTATTTTTTTTCTTTTTTTTCTCAAAATATTGATAATTGGTTTTCTTTTAATTGCACTTTTAATTGCACCTCAGAAAATTCTTTCAGCGATTAATCGCAAGATCCTAGATAATTATCCTCGTATATCTAAGATAAAATACTCGATCTTCTTGCAAATTTTCTTAATTCGTTCATTAGTTTGTCCATTTGTCAATTTTTGTTCGATATCTCATTTTTTTTTTTCTTTAAAATTTTTTATTTCTTTAATTTAAATTCTTAATTCTTTTTTTTGCGTCAATAAATTAGAAATTTTAAATAAAGATGAAATTTTATTTCTTAAAACTTATAGAAATAAAATTTGATGAATTTAAATTAAATTAAATTAATTAATTAAAATTTAAAAAAATTTTAATTTTTACTGGACGAATAATTTTTATCAACGGAGCATTATCAGGGAAAAAATTCTTTGTTTTTTAAAAATATTTTCTATAGTAAATTATGAAATGCTAAAATACGAGTGCGAAAAATATTTTATGATTTGCCTTCAATGTTTCTTTCGATTTTTTTTTTTTTTTTTTTTTGAAAGGACGATTGTTTTCAAAAATTACAGATTATTTCGAAAATACTCTCGTGTGGTGTATAATTTTTTTGGAGCATTGCGCTACCGTAAAGTTTAAGTTTTTTTCTTTACAGTTATAAATATTGTTATATAATTACTTGTGGTTTCTTTTTCTCCTTAATCGAATCGTCATGTGGAATTTTTGTTCATGAAGCATAAAAATTTGCTGCTTACAAGAGACTCTTAAGAACTATATATTATGTGAACCATCATGTTAATTGTTTTGAAATAAATTTTACGATTTTGTCCGATCCACGTTTTTCATTTGGAGGATTATTTTTGATCTTTGTTAGTTTTTTTTTTTTTTTTTGATTTTTAAAAGTAAAACAGGGAACCTCTCTTTTTGATTTGCTTAAAGAACCGACTCAAGTGTCTTTTTGATTAATAGTATAAAGACGTTCCCTTTTCGCACGTTTCTTTCATGACTCGTTATTTTTTTTTTGTAAACAATCAAATTTCCCTAATGTCCCTTATATTTACTTCTATTTTCCCTTATTTTTCTTCTTACTAATTTTCTTTTTCTTTCTTTTTAACTATTTTTTCTAGTTTTAATTTTACCATTCCTTTAATTTTTATCTTCATAGTTTTTCTGAGGATATCAAATTAAGACCACAAAGTGTATCAAATTGTTGATAATGCAACGTTTTGATGCTGTTTATGGTCTCAATTTGAGAGCCTCAGGAAACTGTGATATTATTTACTTTTAATATTTCCGTTCTGTTTTTCTTAATCTATTTTTCTAAAAACTTCCAATTTTTCCCTTTCTCTAATTACCATATCTTGTTTTGTCAATTTTTTGTTTCTATTCTATTTTTTGCCCGCTTTCTAATTAACTCTTTTTCTCAATTTTACCCACCCTATATTTTTAAATGTCCATTTTCTCTCTTTCGTTCCTAGTTTTTATATACACGACCAGACTTCACAGCCAGATTCAACTAATTTGGTACATCAGTTGTCAAAATCATTATCCTCGTCCCACATAGGTTTAAAAAAAAAAAAAAATTATTTCGCAAATAACTAATTGATGTTTACTTACTATATAATTATAGTTACATATTTTTTTCATCTCCACTTTGAAAGCTACTCGTTCCAAGATTTCTCGATATAAGTTACAAAAATTTCCAAAACTTGAAAATTTCAATTAAATATATATAGAGTATATATCGTCTAAAGCGCGTTAGTATTGTTTTTTTTTTTTTTTTTAATTTCCCTCTGATTGTGAGTCGATTCTGCTTGAAACGATACATTATGGTTGTGGATTTGTGCGTTTAATCTCCCACGAGAGTTCGCGACGTCTGGATGAGAAGAAAACAAATAAAAAAAAAAAAAAGAGGGAGAGGAGGAAAAGAAATTTTTTTTTTTTATGAAAGAGGGTGGAAATTTCAGTTACTCTAATGCCAATCAATTTATTACTGTCACAATATTCCTCTTCATAGTATTAAGAATTATATTTTTTTTCTCTCATATAAATAATTTCCTGCAAAAAATGTAATTTTTTTTCTATTATTTATTTTCTAAATAAAATTTTCTTCAACCATTTTTTTCATCATTTTTTTTTTTAAATAATGATTTTTTAAATATTTTATTTAAAATAATTCGGTATTAGAGTTACTGAAAAAATGGGATAATTTTTGCAAAAAATAAAATCTATATGTTTTTTTTTTTTGTTTTTTGCTAAAGAGCTTATCTACGTTTTCTTTTTCACTGTTTATATTATATATATGCCTCGGCGGGAGTCCAATAGGTGGTTGTTTTTTTTTTTTCAGCGGTACGATCAGCCTTTCAGAAGTCTATCGGGAGGACAGGACACGCGATCGCAAGAAACACTTCACTTCTAATCTAACTTTCGTGCTGTGGGTGCAATATGACTATCTACGAGTTTTTTTTTTCTTTTTTTTTAAATCCCCTTCTCTCTCCTCATTTTTCAGGTTCGATTATCGTTCAAACTGTGTGCATTTAGCGAATGTCTTTTTAACATTTGACAATTCTGCGGGGGCGGTCGAGTCGAAATTCGGGGCATCCGTGGAAGATTTTTCAATTTAATAGAAAAAAAAAATATATATATATATATTATAAATATACTATATATTCTACTTCGTCAATCCTCAATAATTATAAGCTCTAGACCCGAAATATTCTAAAACACGTCCAATTCTATACATATATATATATATATATATATATAAAGAATACATAAATATTTCGCAAAGAATATAGAAAATATTCTAAAACAATAGAAATATAGTTTTCATAAAAAGTCATCAACGATATTATAAATTGAAACCTAGTTAGGAACTTTTTTTTCGCAATAATAAATCGCATAAAAAATTCTTTGTAAAAAAAAAGGAAATTAAAAAACAACTTTTTCTTCACTAAATCGGAAAAAAATGCGTTTTTTCAATTTTGAATTGAAAATTTTTTGACATTTTTTTCAATCACATTTTTTTATTTTTTTTTTTTTTTTAGGTCTATATGCTTAAAATGGGGTAAATGTCTAAGCCAAACTCCATTGGGCTTTTCCAAGTTCTCAATGAGAAAAAATGAGAAAAAAAAATTGACTTCAAGAGAATTTAGAAAAGTGCAAGGGTATACACTAAGATTGTTAATCTCTTCAGTCTTGACGACTTGCTAGTTTAGCACTTAAATCTCGGTAATAACTCGCTGTCTATATTTTTTTGTATACCGGCGGTATACGATTGTGTATAAAAAATCTAGTCTTTGGTTTAAAAACTTCATGCTTGAACTTTGACAATGTTTCGATAGTGTATGATCTGTTGTTAGATCCTTGATAGTACCCGTTTTTTTTTTTTTTGTTTTTTTTTTGTCATAATCTTTATAGAAAAATTTGAAAATTTGAATAAATTGAGATGCGATAAAAAGTTGTTTTTCTAGGTTCTGTTTTTATTTTGATCCTGCGACTGATTGATTTTGATTTCTTTCTTTTTTCGCGTGATTGCGTGATTACCATTGTCATGTTACTAGCTAGCCATTTAAATAATGGACTTTCGGCGCCCTTGATAGTCACAGTTTTTTTTCTTAAATGGTATGATTGGCGTTTTTTTTTTTTGTTTTTTTTTGTTTGTTAATGTTGCCCAAAATCTCCGGCGTCATCGCCGAATTTCGGCTCGTCCTGAAGTTATAACTACATTATAATATACCTAACTAACTACCCATATATTGTTATTTTTTTTCACTAATACGCTTCTCACATTTGCTCTATTGTTTATACAGTTTTTTTTTTTTTTTTTGGTTTTTTTTTGTTTCTTTTTTTTTTGTTGCTTTGGTTAATAAGTACGACAACCCGGCTTGCACTGGTTAGTGGCCCTCAAAAAATCGCTGCGATCAAAATCTACAAAAATAACGGATCGAGTGGCGCAATATTATGCCGCACTTGCGGAAGATCCAGTGTCTCGTGTCCCTTTTTAAATAATATTTGGGATTCGAAAATTTTATTACCTATCGAGATATAATTTTTTTTTTTTCTTTTTTTCAAAGGACTTCGAGAATCGGGCGAGCTTTTTCGGAGTCGCTATACCACTTTTTTATTTTTCAACCATATTTTTTGTTTTATATGCTGTCGTTCACAATTATTATAATCACGGAACGGAAACACGATGGTTCGTTATAAAGGATATTTCTGCCCATTGTGAATTATCATTTTCGGCATATATAACTTCTTTTTTTTTCATTATTCTCATTTTGAGAGGAAACTACAACATCAATGAAATAGTGAATTTAATCGCTATAGACGAACCATCGCATTCGCTTTTAATTGTTTAGTTAAAAAACATGATGGGAAAAATGTTAATCGCGACAATGTTCGATTTTTTTGAAAATTATTTTTTTTTTTTTTTTATGTAAATTAAGCGGGAAGTGGAACGTTTCTTCTCGACAATGCTGTGATGGTTGAAGCGCTAATAACATTGATGTTGGTTGAGGCGATGTTAATGATTGTTGTTGATGTTGTCGTAGCTACAGCTGTTGAAGTTATTCCTGTCGATGGGTTGTGCTTGCTTACCATCACACTAGGAGGCTAGGCGTCAGCCAGTCCTCATCCGCTAGCTGGACCGCAACCAAGAACACACTTTACCATTTGAACACACAAACGCTGGTTAAGTCTTGGTGTCCAAAATTCAAGAGGGGTGAAAATAAACTAACCACTCACTCACTCTATCTCTCTTGCTCTCTCTCTCTCTCTCTCTCTCCCTCTCTCTTTTATTGATTATTATTTTATTTACATTCGCAAACATTCTCTTTCACACTCTCCACATCTAATGTGCTATTTCTAAGTTTCGTTCTACCACAAATGAAAGCCGTCACCTAATATCAAATTTATATTCCCTTTTTTTGAAATTTATTTCAATATTCCTCATATAATAATAATTGAGGGAATCTAGCATAAAATCTGAATTTTTAAACCAAAAAAGAAAAATTTAACGACAAAATTAAATTGCCCCCTTTTTACTTGAAAATGTGTTTTTTTAATATCAATTAACAAAAAGCAATAACATCAAAGCACAGCTTTTTCTAGTTTAACGCTGTTTTTTTATTTTGTATTTTTTTTTTCGTTTCTATTTATGTTAAAATATTCTACTTACATATATATATATATATATAGTATATAGTATATAGTATATATATATATATACTCTTTGTGGTTAATTTACACATATATTTAAAGCACTAGCGATATGTAGGACATTAGAAAGTTTTGTTTAAAAAAATTAATAAAGTATTTTATTTTTCCTAAAAATTATAAGAAATTAAAATTTTTGTGTTACTTTCTTTTTTGGACATTTTTGTTTGTTTATTTGTTTTTTTTTTACAATATGAGCAAATCATGAATAAGAAAGGAAAATATGTTTTGATTTTTATAGACAACATTTTTCAAGAAACTTCTCGCTAATGTCATTTATTGCATTGTCATCAGTATAAAATTCAATTGAATAGGGAAGACAATTTGATATTAAGTTTGGCCGCATTGTCGAAACTTTTGTGTTAACGTATTTATATAAAGGACAAGCGATGCTGTGTTCTGGTACTGGTAGTGATCATTGTGCCTGTGAACCGAAACACGTATATACAAAATTGAACCAATCTGATTATCGAATATCCGCTACTGTAAAGGAAATTTTCTTTTCAATAAATATATTACATTGCACTTGACATTATTCGCAAGATTTAATTAAGATCTTATGTAATTGATATATATGTATATTATGTCATTTCCTTTTTATTTATATAATAATTTATACAAAAATTTATTAATAATAAAAAATAATTAATTATATCAACTATATTAACATATTGAATTTTAATTCTAATGCTAAACTATTCGTTTCATTTGTGAAGAGTGAAAATATTTTTCATTTCTCATTGCTAATTCGGTTTCTGATAATTTCGATAATATATACGTTTAAGAGAATTTTTTTGAGCGGATATTTGATCAGAAAAAAATTTGAAAAAATGAAAACACATGTGCAATCGCTTTCCTTTACTAAATTTTGAACATGCATAAATAACATTATAGATATAAAACCATTTATGAGAAAAAGTAACGTACCATGGTGCAGTCTAAAGCGTATTTTATTTTCTTACTGAACTTTTATTATGATTATGCCGATAAATATATTTATACGTTATATTATTATATTTGATAGTAGTGGTTTTTTTATATTTTGGATTACTTTTAATTAGTATCGTGTACCATTTTCAATTATTTATATTGTACTTTATTTTTATACATTGTACAATTTTATTCTATTGTATTTTTTATATCGTTATATTATTTATGGATATACCTTGTAAGATGGAAATATATTGCGATTGAAATCCAAACTATAAAAATGGTTATTATAATAATTCTTTGTAAATTGTAAAATTATGTAAAATTATATTGAAAATAAATTATAAAAAATTTTATCTGTTTTCATGTGAAATTTTAAATTTTTTAAATTTTAATTATTTTAAATTTAATTTTAATATATTTACTATAAATTTTAATAACTTTAATACTATTTGTAATATTATATATTATATACTGATTGAAAATTTAAATAAAAATGTTTATAAATATATTATTATATCATTATAATTATCATTACATTTATTATTGTGATTAAAATTATTATTATATTTACTTTTATCATCATACTTAGGGTCAGTTGGGGTAAATGGGGACAAATTCGATATTTTTCACAAATTACGATTGTTGCCATTTACCCCAAAATTTAGAAAATTTCATAAAATTTGGGGTGAATGGGGACAGCATAATTTTTAAGAAAGTTTTAAGAAAAAAGTTTCGTTAAGTAAATTACTGTATTAAGGGATGAAAAAACATGAAAAAAATTTGTAGTAGATTGGAATTGGAATTTTTTTATTTTTTAAAAATTTTTTTTTTCATTTCAGTATTTTGTCTCGCATTTGAAAAAAACAGACTTAAAAATCATACTAAATTTTTTCTTATTCCTTACGACTCCTTTAACAGAAATTCACTTGAATTTTTGATTTTTGTTAATTTGGTTTATAATGACAATAATCAAAAATTCAAGTGAATTTCTGTTAATAAAGGAGTCATAAGGAATAAGAAAAAAAATGCGAGACAAAATACTGAAACAGTTTGACTTTGATTTTCAAGTTTTTATGCGTTGAGCGATAACTTTTTTTATCTTGCTGACAATTGTCAAGATAAAAGCTTGGCAATACTCAAAATCTCTTGCAGGTGATCTGAGGTTAAAAATATTGACGTTGAACTTAATTTTAAAACTGTAAATTAAGCTCCAAAACCTCTTATCCCCATTTACCCCAACTGACCCTATATTATTATCTGTATAATTATCGAGATATAAATTATAATATTAGCATAATTTATATTATGTAGATTTATTATAATATTCATTATGCTATTATTGTTTTTTTTCTCGACTCAAATCCAGTAAGAATATGTAAACCCTCTAGAAGCTTTTATTTTAAATCACAATCTACTTATTCTGCAAAAAGAAAACATGCAATTATATCATGATTCAAATGCTCAACACAGAGTATATAAAAAAAAGTAAAGCCTATAATTACAATCAAAAATTGATCTCTGACAAATTTTATTTAACTATTTTTTTATATTCAATCAAGGGAATATGATATTACATATATTTTGTAATATATCCTTCTGAAAATATTACGTGTAAAATTATCAACAAGTAAAATTTAATTTGCAAACTTTATCTACAAAAATATTTCATCTGAATTTATAAATACAATTTTGAATAAAATTAAATTCAATAATCTTCAATAAATAATAGTACTCAGTTAAAATTATTATTTTATCAATCGATTTGAAATATCAACTTTTGAATTATTTTATATTTAGAGAGAGAATTACTAATCTGATAGTATCATGTTATTTTTTGAAATTCTTGATTATTTTCGGCTTTAGAAACGTTACATTAATTATTATATCCTGAGTAGTTGTTCTTAAATCTAAATTCTAAATTCAGAATCATATATAAATTATATATTTGCGAATAAAAATCGAAGATATATTTTTCTTTTGAATAAAGAGATTTATTTTTAAAAAATTTAATATTGAAGAAGATAAAAATATATATAGTCTCGAATTTATTATTATTTTAACAATAATATGCCCACAAGAGTGTTTTAGTCAAACTTAAAAATAATAAATAATAATAAATATTTAATAATATTTATCATTAAATTATTTTTCGTTTTAGTAAATACTAAAATAAATATTTATTTTCAATCAATTTTTTTTTTTTGAAAAATTAATTCGGATTTTAATTAATTAATTAACTTTCTGATAAATTTATAATTCAAATGAAATTACCCAAGTTGAAATTTATTGAAAACAATAAATTTATAAATTCTTCTAACAAAAATATACATGATTGAATTCAGAGTAATAATTTGCCACTTTTTCATAATTTAAAAAATAAATGCAGAAAAAAAATTGAGTCAAGAATGTATTGCGATGAATATATTATAATGATGTTAATAATAATGAAAATAATAATAATGATAATAATAATGATAATAATAATAATGATAATGAAAATAATAATAATAATTATAATAATAATAATGATAATAATAATAATAATAATGATGAAAAGGATGATAAAAATGTTCTAACAAGATTCATAATAAGACAAGCAGCGTAGAGAACATGCATTTGGGAAAATAAGCATATAACTAGAGAGACGCAATGTTTACCTGGAATTGTTGCATGGGATAGGCCATCATTTGCGCTGGAGGTGGAGGAGGTGGTGGTGCCGCTTGTACTCCAGGTGGTGCTGTCACTGTTGTGGCATGATGTGGCGGAAGTTGAGGTCCACCAGGTAAACCTTGTCCCCAACCAGCAGCCGTTCCCGCTGCATGAACTCCCATTCCCATTCTATGTTGGAAATTTACAGAAACAAGTGAGAAAATTTTAAAGGAATTTTATAGAAATGTTTTTGTTTGAACCAAATATAATATATAGGTACACTAATATTATAATAATTGAAAACATTTTTTTTTCCCATTAATATCTATAATAATTTATGTGGAACTTACCCTAAATATTGAGTTTGTTGATATCCCGGAAATTGGCCGTATGTGTAACCCTGCATTCCTTGAAGAAATCCTCCAGCTTGCATTTGCGTTGCTGTCGTTGGATAAGATTGTGGAGGGTACCAATATCCGAGTTGACCAGCTCCCCCAACACCACCGACACCACCAACTCCTGTGACGCCAGCTGCTGCTGCAGCAGCTGCAGCTGCCGCTGCATAATACGGATACGTTGCCGAAGACAAAGCCTATTAGAAAAAAAAAAATTAAATCATGAAATTGAAATGATCCTTTTAAGTATTATAATTATGTCATAATTATTGTAAATAATTATTTTATTATTCATATATTATAAATTAATTCTTATCATTTGTCAGAAGTTTTATTTGCTTGAATTTTTATTTAATATAATAGCCATTTTAAAGAATTTCTATATTAGGTAGATTTTCATATTGTATATAGAATTTTCATTTCGATGAATTATTTTCAATACTTTGAATTATTATTATTATTTGATTTTTCATATAAGCGATTTTTTAAACTGCAGAATTTATACTTAATCGAAAAATCATTTAACAAAATTTCCAATTCTTTCCGAACAAAAAATCGACAGAAAGATTTTTGCATGATTTTTAATATATCAATAAATAATCAAAAATTATCCATAAAATTATGATTAGTTACTTTTAAAAATATCATCGAAATGTTTCTGCCGATTTTTTGTTCGGACATTTGAAATTTCGGCCAAATAAAAATTCGATCAATTAGAAATTCTGTTAAAATGATTTTTCGGTTTAATATAAATTCTATAGTATAAAAAATCGGTTATATGGAAATTCTATATCAAATAATAATTCGAACAAATTAAAATTCATCTAAAAAAAAATTCTATGCTTGTTATTGATTGTTATTAATAAAAAAATTAATTTCTCAAATAAACTGAATTTAAAGAAAATTCTGTCTATAAAAATGTTAATGTTAATGAAAATAAAAAAATACGTAATAATTTTCTCGCAAATTATACATAAGCTTTCAGTAACTTTCCTGACATAAGGGAATTAATGTTCAAAGATCGGATTGACCTAAGCTATAAAGTTAGCTAAAGGGTAAAGGCTTGAACATATTCAGTTATCACTTTGGTAATTGCTTCTCAAAGCGTTAGTTACAATAATCGGGAATAATCCTTGCACAACAATTGTGAAGCTTTATGATCTCGGAATATAGTAATTTTTCTTAATAAGTTATTTATTACTATTATGTAAATTTTCTTACAATATAATATGTATGTCAATATTCTCACAAAAAAAATATTTTACTAAAAATTATTTTTATAATAATACCAAAATCTAATTTTTTACCGGGTATAAAAAGTTTTATTATAATTTTTATATACCAATCTACTTTAACAGCATGTGATTTCTTTGATTTACAATGTTAATTTTGTCGTGAACTTTACTCTCAAAATTAATTATTATAAAACAATTAACAGTGTCGTCATATCTAACTTTACATTTTCTAAAAATTTCCAAATAATATAATAATAATTAATTCAACAAAATATCACAATTTTTGCATATAACAACCGTTGTTGATCATATTGATATTTACAAATTTCTTATACCTATATACAAAAAATTTGCACACAAGTGCAATAATCGAAATTATTAATATTTCATGTTTCGATTTCCCTTTAGTTTGCTAATAATATGTGTAATTATTACTTAATGTAAATAACGTTAATAATTTATACCCTATTTGCTCGTAGGATACAATTATTGACAAAGTACGATTTCAGTAGGATATATCAGTGTGTAGTCAGACAACAGATGATTGAACATATATAACCAATAATACAGAATAGAAAATTGATATAAAATGAAATTGAAAAAACTACTAGTTACTTCAAGAAAAGAATTATTGTAATAATAATTTAATATATATAAACTATTTATTAATAAAATATGAATAAATCAATTATAAAATTATTAATAGTAAAAGTATAAATAATGAAATATTAAATATTAAAGAAAATATTAATAAACTAATAATAATAAAAAAGAACATAATTAAATTAAAATGCAAAATACTCAGTAACTACAGTCTGAATATAGTGTAGGTCAATAAATACATTATATATATAAAAATATATATATATATATATATATATATATATATATGTATAACATGATAAAGTGATACACGTGAGTGCTGGTCAAATTACATCAAGTGAATTACTGACTATAAAATTGCCTCGGTATATGAAATTGAGGCAAATTAATTTGATGACAAAAGTTACTATTGTCAAACGACCACGTAAGTGGTACAAATCAATAGGTAGTCAGACACAATATATAGCATAATATTCCAAGTACCGTTCAAGCATATCAAACACACTGTAATGTATTAACATTCGAGTTGTTTGTCGACAAAATCATCATTTGCAAACATTCAAGTTGTACGAATCAATATATGTGAACAAACTGTGGAGAGAAATTTTATCTCCAATATATAGAAGAGAATGTAATTCAACCCTATATGTGAATTAATTAAAAAAAAAAAAAAAAAAAATGAATGAAGATATAAAAAAACAATTAATAACAAAAATATTCATTTTTTCCACGAATTCTAACGATTTATTATTTTACTTAAATATATAATAATATAATGATCTTGCTTTAGATGTATATTGAAATGATAAAATATTCTGTCATCAAAGTTTACCGAAATTTATACATTTAGGGTAATTGTTTGTATGAATAAATGAACCGTGTCAAGTTGGGTCATGTCAATTATTCATAATATGCCAAACACAAGACTATAACCATTTTATTGGATAAAAGTATTTTAAAAAAAAATTCCATAAACAGATTATCGATAGAGTCATTTAAACTTACGCGCCATGCATATGCCACTCAAAATATATTTATGTTTTAAACACTTCATGACTTCATTTGACAAATTATATATATATATATATATATATATGTAGAATTCTGTTTCTTAATTATTTCATAAATTTTCATATTTTTTTGGGTGAAATAATATATTGATAAATTTGTAAAAAAAAATGAATATTACATTTTTCACATAAAAATTTTTTTAAAACTTTTTTAATCTATAAACTTAATGAAATTTATTAATATAAAAAAATTTCAACATTTATTTACTGCTTTTACATGAAAGAATTAACCAAGAATTTAATTATAGGGAAAGAAACTTTATTTAAAATTTTACTTTAAAGCTGAAGTTTTAAATGCACTTCAAAAGCGAAATATTCACAGAAAAAACCAAAGTCTCATTTTTGTTGCAAATCAAAATGAGCCAATGCTAAACGACATAGACAGTGGCGTCACCAACCTGGTTTATTTTTGTTGCACATCAAAATGAGCCGCCTACACGGCTCATTCTGAGTTCAGTTTTTTTCTGTGTTATTTTTGCAGTTTATTAAGTTTGCAATATTTGAGATCAAAAATTTAGGGGGAGAGGAAGACAATTTAGGGGGGAGGGGGTATAACCTTTTATATAAATAAAATTTTACTGTTGAATTTGTATTATTAAATTTATGAATGAATTTTGTATACACGAATAATTTTTACATTTTTTAAAAGTTACCAGACAGTTGTTCTCAAGATTTTAAGAAATAAGAATCGAAAGAAATTATTAAAAATATCAAATATTCTTTTATATAACATCAAATATTTGTCAATCATCATAATTTGTGAAGCGACACATAACAAATGAATGACTTAATTATAACTGATTTTACGAATTAGCAATATACTTGTTTGACAATTTGAAAATTTGCATATTATATTCGCTAAAACATTTTCCAATTGGAGAATGAAATATATAACATTTCAATCATCAGTTTGATACGATAAAAATGATTAATCATTTTCTATTACTGTCACGTGTAAGCCAATAAAATAAATTATACATAAAAGTAAAATTTATAAAAAAAATTTTAATATAATACCTATATATAGTAAATGAAATAGTTTATTTAATTTTGTTGTCGTAACCAAATTTTGGTTGAAATTTAAAAATGTTCTACCAAATAATTTTGTTGGCTCAACCAAATGCTTGATTGATATAACTCTACAAGTTTGTTTCATCCAATAAAAATTTAGTTACCACAACCAAAATTAATTACTTAAATGATGTTGTTGCAAATATTTTTTTTTCTATATATATACAAAGAAATATAAAAATCGTAACTAAAACAAAAAAATTGAGGACAGATGCAAATTTTGTGAAATTATCAAAGAGGAAATGAATGTTTGTATGGAGGAACGTTATTAGTAAGGTTTTCGAGTTTCTAAGAGGAGAGGCCGTGTTATGGGAATAGGGATCAATTAGGACGATGTCACGGGCCACATAACAGGGGATGGATCGTTGAGAAGTACGAGCGTAGTGGTGCAACGGGACAGTTGAGAGAATACCTAACGTTACCTACTACGCTATTCCCAGATCGGACGTGCCCACTTCTCTTAACGGCGCTAATTGCTAAGAGACCCCGATGAGAGTTCGCCCCGCAAGAGAGGCTCGTGAATAGACCGGAATCTTGCTCGATTCCCTGTTGCACCTTCCTATTCTGTCTTTATCCTTTCGACCATTACGACCTATCAACGAGATCCCCTCCCTCCAAAATCTCACTCTTAGTTAAAGTCACCTATACTGATGCTGAGACTCCATCCTATCCAAAGCCTGGTAACTACCACTACCCCGAATTTCAACAACTTTCCAACTTCCGTGAATGTCAACGTATAGGAGAGATATTTTCCTCCTTGTGGTCTACTGTAGAATGCTCGAGGCGATTTCTTAAGATCCATCCGATAGTCACATGCATTCCTCTCGCGCGCCTTTTTATACAATCTTCATTTTTCTTTTGTATTTTCAAAAAAAAAAAAAATAATTCACTTTCAAATATGTCTGATATAATTTTAAAAATAATGAAACACGCATAAAAAAATGATTTACTTTCAATTGACCGAACTGAGTTTGGAATGTAATGGATAAAACTGTATACCCGTGTGGAAAAATGTTGGGGAACTGACAGGGTCCTTGCTAGACCGTCTGCTGTCTATCTAGGTACTGAATAGACCGTCTCATCATGGCGCTACTCAGAATGGTGACGATTCATCCATGACATGGTCTGATCAGACGGGCTATTCATGGTCTAAGCAGCAGCGCTAGTAAAATCTAAATTAGCTTAATTAAAAATAAATAATAATTATTATATGAAAAA